GCAATGCTTTGTTTGCTGTGCTTGCCCAATAAAATATCATAAGGCCTGCCTCGAAACGATGTCACCGGCTCGCCCGCAATACACTTAAGCAGATAAAAAAAAAAAAAATACCTGTGTAACTGTGCTTATTTTCGTCTTCGAATAATAATTACATCCTTGCCTGTTTACGTTGTGGAGTGGTGTTATATTGTTGATCAGTGAATCATTACACTCAAATATTGTTATCCACCAGTAATACGTCGAAATTCGTCGTGTTTATATTGCATAATTATTATCAAGTTCGAAAGAAATATTCAACTACCCTGCAATCACTGGTGTTTTTTGTTGTCAATATCAACTGACGTGTGTCTAAATTGAATCTGACAGTGAACAATAGGGACAAAGTGTTGCCACATTCAATTGCACTTCCAAATTATTGGGAAAATATGAGTACTTGTGGAGGCTGTCATAAACCAACTTCCGGAAATGATATTATATCGTGCTCTAAATGTCCGAAGGGTTATCATCATATATGCGTGGGCATATCTAAGGAAAACTTTAAAAAACTCTCAAAGGAGACGAAAAATGCTTGGAAGTGTCCTGAATGTAAGAAAGGTCAGCCTAGAATGGGAGATAACTCTGACACTCCGGTGCGTGGGTCTAGAGTCGATGTTACTTCCAGTGAGTCTGGGGAAGGCAATAATGAGTGGATTGCACAACTGATTCAGAAGCAAATCAAGGATACTCTTGCGGCGGAACTTCCTAGAATTGTACGCAATACACTGCAGTCAGAATTAAAAGGTTTGCGTGACGAAATTAGTGCGTTGAAGGAATCAATAAACTTTATAAGCGATAAGTATGAGGACCTGAAATCTGCTGTGGGCAAACGCGAATTGGACGTGAAGTGCTTATTGGAAGACAACCATAAAATAGGGTTAAAACTCAAAGATGTTTTTAATCGGCTAACTACATTTGAGCAGTACTCAAGAGATTCCAATATCGAATTACATGGACTTCCCGAGTTTAAAAACGAAGATCTGGCTCAGACTTTGCAGCAAATTGGGACAGTAGTAGATCACCCTATAAAAGATGATGAAATTCTTGCCTGTCATCGTGTTGCCAGGATGGATCCAATGAGTAAGCGCCCGAGAACTGTGATAGCGAAGCTTCGTAGTAACCGGTGTAGGGATGCTCTTTTGGCTTCAGTTGCTAAATATAACAAGGCTCATCAGGATGACAAGATAAATAGTAATTTAATCGGCATAGGTGGTGATAAGGTTCCCATCTTTATAGGTGAACATCTGTCACCCGAAAATAAGCTGCTTCATGCTGCAGTGAGACAAAAGGCCAAGCTCCTTAATTATAAATTTGTGTGGGTGAGAAACGCCAAGATTTATATTCGCAAAGACGAGAATTCACCAGCCAAAGTAATATTAAACAAGGAAATATTAAATGATTTGGCAGCTTAAGCGATATTTGTGTTTATTTTGGAATATAGTTTGTATAATCCATAGTAAAATTCAAGATTTACTATCAAAATTCCAGGGGATTAAGAGCAAAGACGACTGAATTTTACTTAAATGTACTTCAGAACCATTATGATGTAGTAGTTATTACTGAGACATGGTTAACACGTGACATAAGTGACGGTGAACTATTTGATCCTAGATACACCGTATACAGAAGAGATCGTTCATTCTGTCAAAATGCAACAAAATCCAGAGGCGGAGGAGTGATGATCGCAGTTAATAAAAAGTTTAAATCTTATAGACAGCAGCAGTGGGAATCCAGCAACGAAGATTTATGGGTAATCATAGAGGCTCGGTCCGGAAAAACTGTAAAAAAGATTGGATTCTGTGCAGTATACTTACCTCCACCTCTGAAATTAGAAATAGTCAGAAACTTTTTCTCGGAATGTAGTGATGTGGTGAATTATCTTGACAATGTAGTGATGATTGGAGATTTTAATATGGGCTCCATTTCATGGGCTCAGGTGCCTAGTGCTAACAATTTTTTACCTCGTAACTATAATAATGACTTGGGATATAATTTGGTTGACTTTATGGCTCTTTCTTGTCTGTATCAGTTTAATGGAATTGAAAATTGTGATAAAAAAATATTAGATTTAGTTTTAACAGATATATTGGAAACTAAGGTTTTGAATTCAAATAATGTACTAAGTAGGGTCGACACTTATCATCCACCATTAGAAATTGAGCTACCGTACTGCTTAGGAAACAATATGGTACCGAGAGTGCGCTCGGATTTTAACTGCTTTAAGGCCAACTATGAAAAAATTAATACCTATCTTAAAAATGTAAATTGGAATAAGACTTTCGAGTCAGGTGATGTTAATGATATGGTTCGCATGTGGTACGAAAAGATTCTTGAGGCTGTGGCCAACAATGTTCCAAAACATAAGCCCTCTGGAAGAATTTATCCGCCTTGGTTTGATAAGAGTTTTATTAAACTTTTAGCAGAAAAAGATAAGTTGAGGAATAAATTCCAAAGGTACAAAAATCCTCGGGATCATTATGAGTACACAATTTTGCGTGATAGGTGTAGGAAACAAATTAAAATCTTATATAAATCTTACATAAATAAAGTTGAAGACAATATTAGGAAAAATCCCAAACATTTTTGGAAATTTGTTAAAAATAAGCAATCTGGCTCGGGGAACTTGCCATCTAATATGTTTCTTCATGACACTAAAGCCACTAACGGAAGCGAAGTTGTCAACCTATTTGCTGAGAAGTTTAGCTCGGTTTTTGGAGATAAGGCTGACATGGGAAGCTTCTGTATTGATGACACTTTTAGCGATGTACCATTGCATACAATTAGGTTTACAGAGAGACAGGTATTACGTAAATTGATGAGTTTAGACGTGTACAAGGGTTCAGGTCCGGACAAAATTCCACCATTGTTCTTGCGAATGTGTGCTTCATCGCTGGCACTTCCTATTACATTTATATTTAATAAATCTTTAAGTGATGGTGTATTTCCCAAGGAATGGACAAAGGCGCGTATTGTTCCTATATTGAAAAAGGGGACTCGAGAGGACGTTTCTAACTATAGGCCTGTCTCAATACTGTCAGCCATTTCAAAGGTCTTCGAGTCATTAATGGTTCCTTTAATTGTTGGGCATACTAAACATTTAATTGATGATAGACAACACGGATTCCAGGCAAAGAAATCTGTATCAACTAATTTATTTTCGTATGTGAACACTTTAAGTATGGTATTGGATCATGGTGGTCAGGTAGACTCAATCTATACGGATTTTAGCAGCGCCTTCGACAAGGTTAACCATCGTATTCTACTTTGCAAGTTAGAAAAGACTTATGGAATTGCTGACCCCCTTTTATCATGGTTTAGGTCGTATCTCACTGAACGTTGTCAAAGTGTGGTTGCTGGAGGATATGAGTCCCAGTTATACAAGTCAAATTCGGGTGTGCCTCAGGGATCCCATCTTGGACCTATTTTGTTTGTTCTCTTCGTCAATGATGTTATGGGTTGTATTAGGTATAGCCAGTGTTCAATGTTCGCGGATGACATGAAGGTATACAAGGTCATTAGAGGTGACGATGACTGTCAGCTATTACAGAGCGATCTTGCCTCTATTCATGACTGGTGCTATAAAAATAAAATGCATCTAAATATTTCCAAATGTTACCATATCACATTTACGAAAAAAAGACTTCCCTTCGATTCAAGTTATAGTATCGACGGTACTGTAATTAAAAAAGTCACAGAGGTAAGGGATCTGGGAGTGTATTTGGATGACAGTTTGACTTTCAGGTGTCATTATGATAATATTGTTAATCGTGCTTATCGTATGTTAGGTTTTATTAAACGGACCACCAAAGATTTCCGCAAGGTGGAGTCCAGAGTAGTAATTTACAACGCACTAGTAAGAAGCATTATTGAATATGCAAGTATCATCTGGAACCCATACTATAATACCCACGCTGACAGAATTGAACGAATTAATCGCTCCTTTACTCGATACTTAGCGTTCACTTGCAGGGACATAACTACACGTCACTCGTATGAAGAAAGACTAGGCTTTTTCAATATTTTGAAACTAAAGAATCGCCGCATACTTCATGACTTATGCTTTTTACATAAACTTTTAAATGGTTTAGTTGAGTCAGAGTCCTCGATAGAAAATTTTACGTTCAGAGTCCCTCGACCTAATTCCCGTTACGTTTGTAGGGATTTATTTTATATTCATCGATGTCGAACCAATCTTGGTAAGAGTTCCCCAGCTAATCGCATATGTATAAAATATAACGAAATTATCAATGTTTATGGCAATAATCTGGACATTTTTGGCAATAGCTTTCACACATTTAAAAAAAATGTAGTAAATATTTTGGCTCAGTGGTCGGAGTCGTGACGGGTTGACACTTACAATTCACCGATCAAGTGCAAGACGCTGGTGCTGCACGATATATCCTATTAAGTTTAACAAGTAATAACTTGTGAGTGTTGACTCGCTGTGTGCTTGCTGGCCTGACACACTGGTTGTGTTTGTAATTTATAGGATGTAATTCAAGAGATGGCATTTGTTATAAAGTTAATTGGAATTACTGTGTATACCTTTTATTAAAATCATACAAAGTATTTTCAATAATAAGGTTGTTAAAATTATGTAATGTATGTATTTTGTTGGTGTACCATAATAAAAATAAAAATAAAAATAAAAAATAAAATACACTTGTACATAATAGCAAATAGCCAATCAACCGACACGGCAACTAGCAATCGAACCAATCATTGCTCACACCCGAAAGAAACGGTACAATCAGAACCAGGTTTTGGTCAAGCTGCTCATAGCTCACACATTATTGTGGCGCACCTGCTCCGCCCACAAGTCCCTTCTGGACCTCTTTCTATGTGACAGATAAAGAAAAAAAGTTAGTTGTCATCCTTATTTGGCTAGTATTGTATAAAAAAAATGTTTCCTCATCTCATTGCATAATAACATCCAAACATTAATTAATGTTTTAAGGAAACAATATTCTAATTGATAAATAATTTTATTTCATTCTCTACTTATATCTATGTCGTATGTGTATTCACTGTCCAGCTTTCTTTGGGACCCAAGGTTCGATCTTCGGTCTGGTGGTGCTGTAAGGAGTGTATTGGCCAGTCGTCCCCGAAAGGTTCTCAGTAGCATCCATCATCCATTTATACTTTGGGCGGCTGGGATCCTGGGAAAAGAAATTCAACAAAATAAGATACTTATTTATAATTACTTTTTTTGTGCTCATAAAGCTAGAAAGCCAATCCTAATGGCAAAAGCCTCAACAGAAATAATTGACTGACAAACTGATGCTTATACTTCATATCTGGACTTTTTACGCATGTACATTAAACTGCATTTGTGTGCATATTCCCCTCTCCCCCCCCCCCCCCCATCCAAAAAATGGCAAATCTAAATAGTATTATGTCGTTATGGCTAGTCACTTTAATGTTATTGTATGATTAATTTGTTGTTAAACGTAGTGTAAGACGCCCTGAGACAAGATGGGATGACGATATTCGTAGGCTGGCAGGAGAGTGCTGCATGAGAGTAGCACAAAATCGGGAGCAGTGGCATGCATTAGGGGAGACCAATGTCCAGCAGTGGATGAACATGGGTTGATGATGATGATGCTGATGTATGGTTAATGAATATCATGCTCAAGTACCTGGTGCGGTGGAAGGTCAGTTTTGTAGTGCAGCCATCCATACCATTCAGCGGGAACCTGGAACACATAAGATCTTCTTAATCCATGTACCAAGCATTAGGCAATTATCCTGTTCAAAGCTTTTGTATTATGGATCACATCATTCAGTTGGTAATAGACTATAGAGCAGTAACAGAATGTGCTTAAAGATACGAATAAAATAATTTATAACAATACAGGTGATTTGTTGATTACTTAGATTTCTAGTTTAAAGGCAAAAGAAACACCAGAAGTGCAATGCAAAATAAATTAATCACACAAAATATTTAGTTAAGCTGACAAAAATTTACATGTAAGTAAATCTTTTCGTTCTTTATTACAAATCTTACTCACTTGACTAGCATCGTAGTTCATATGGTATTTATCGGCATACTCAACCCAACGGTTTCTTCCATAGAAAAAGCGAGGATTTTCGAAATATTTGTTGCCATATTTGTCTTCACCAATCAGTACTCCATCTTTTATTTCGTCCTGCCTGAAAAATAATGTTCATTATGGAGTAACTATGGAAGTAATTTCTTGATTATAATTAATTAACTAATCTATTAGCAATTAGTCTAATAGCAATAACAAAAAAATGCAAATATAGCAGTATAAATCTCTGTCACTGAATTCAAACCAATAATCTTTATCAAAGTTAAAAAGTTATGAAAATGAAAACAATTTAGGATCGTAACATTTAAAACACAACACCAGACTGCATACTATAAAATTAATTATAGAAATTAACGACCTTTACTTTCATATGTATTAGCCAAACAATGATTTAGACCCTGGGCACAATCAAAATTACATAATAACATTAATTTAGTTTTACCTATATAGTTTGAATAGGGCTCCTCTGATCCCACCATTTTGGCGAAGGATATTGAAAAAATTTGATACTTTATCCAAAGCTAAATATTTAGCAAGGGACATTTTTTTCTATGAATTTTTGGATTTACTGTAAATCACAATGTTTTTGGTTGGCAAATTGACATTGACAGCAAAGTCAAATTGCGACTGACAGTATTTGTTATAATTATCTCATAATAGTGGAGATAAAGTATACGGAGTGTATACAGCCTTCACTTTAATTTAACCTGTTTTAAGAAAAGCACTTTTACAATGTTTTTGATTTTGTCTTGGAGCATTCGAATTATTTTAGGTAATCTTTTCAACTCTCAGTGTGTTTCACTAAATATTTGGTTTTCAAGAAAGCAAAATAAATCTGTTCCACTTTTTTTGTGGAAAGCAAGGTTCTGCTCCACTTTGACCATACTTAGCATGATAGTGTAGGTATGTAAAAATAAAACAAAAAATCGTGAAAAATGTATTTAATTAATTTGCTTAGACTACAATTATTTTATTACGAACACAGTTTTTTTTTTTTAGATTTCTTTTTTTTCATATTAAATTTACTTTCAACTTCATTATCATCAACATCCATATTCTTGTGTAAATTATTTTCACTGCTCCCTTTCTTTGCACTACTATCAGGATTTATTTTACCTTCATTACCAGTACTTACCAGCTTTTTCTTTGATTTCTTTGCACCATTACTTTCATGGACATTTTCAGACTCATTTATTTCTTTCTTATCATCTTCATGCAAAAGTGTTTCGGATTTAGGCTGATCAATATTTATTTGACAATTATTATTTAGACTACTGCAACGTTTTCTCTTCTTTTTCTTCTTCTTTGTGACAGTAACATCTACATCACTGTTAAGGCTGATATCTTCAACTACTTGTAGGTCATTAACAGATACTTTTTCTTTAACAAGGTTTTTGGAATGTGAATAACCATTAAACTTTGGTTGACTCAACAACAGTTGCTCCTGTTGAGCTATTCTTGCTAATTTTCCTGTAGCTTTCAACCCATGACGGGCACCCCTGGACAAAAAAAATATTTATTTTACTCTACCATTAAATTTCATAAACAAATAACTAAAGAAAGATAAGGCATTGTGGATTTTCCATATGTATTTTAGAATACTGAATCATATAAAATTATAATACAGTCAAAACCAGATCTAACAACATTGAAGGGACCATACAACTTTGGACATTATGTCCGATAGTTATAAGCAATATACACAAGTAATCATATTATTGTCTTATATTTATAAATCGCACCCTCGGTGCGATATATACATACACTATCACTTATGCAAAAAAATCATTTTTTCAGGAGAAGCGTTTAAAACTTTAACATCCCAAAACATACAATATTTAAAGTTTTTTTTTTATTTTTTTTAGATGAATAGCTAAGCAGTATAAGCTTTTCATCACGAAAATATCTTTAAATATTGTATGTTTTGGGATGTGAAAGTTTTAAACACACAACAAAAAAAATGTTTTTGCATAAGTGACAGTGTCGCACCAGGGGTGTGATATGTAGTATGACTATAGATAATGAATATAAGCTTGTTTAGAAATAAAAAAGTTTACTATAAAAAAATTAATAACAGTATATTTTGTTTTAATGGAACAAGTAAAACGGTTGGTCATTATAGCCAATGAAAAGCGATATGAACTTTATCAATATTCATTGGTTATAAGTTGTTTTAAGCGGTATTTCCCTATATCTGGTGTTCTTATAGGGGGTTTCATTACTTAGTGTTTATATAGGATTTCGGCGAGGACCTTGCCAATGTCACATTATATTCGGCTAAGACTGTATATATTAAAAGTGAAACTACCTTTTTTTCTTCATCCATCATGTAGATTATCAAATACTTTTGGACACATATTTTTCTTTTTTCTACGTGAAAAATCAAAATGTTACTGAGGCATAATGATTTGAAATGTGGCATGAAGTCATTCATATCTTGGTACTATTTTTACTTGGAAGCAAGGTCATAAACTTTGACACTCATCTTTTTAGTTTTTTTGTTGATAGACACAATAAAAAATAAGTGTCCACTATTTCTCGATAATCTAACTGATGGACTCAATAGAGTTTAGTTTACTTTATCCTGTAATCATCGCTATTTCTAGATGATTTATAAAAAACTTACTTATGAGCAGTCCTTCCTTCACATGCCGCAAACAACTCTTCATCAGTCATTTTAAACACATCTTTCTTAACCACCTCTTCTTCTTCTTCTGCATCAGATATATTCTCCATTTTAACACCACCTTTATCTAAAATTGCTTTTTTAACAAAATGCTCAGAATACTGCCCCATGGGCTCATTTTTATTGTGTTTCCGTTTAATTTTCCATGTACTATTTGTGATTTCAAATTCCCCTGCATCTTTTGTTCTGATTCTTTTAGTTTTTCCATTCTTTTCTTCCACCTGTAGACAGTTTTAAGAAGTTACATTTATGATTACAACAAATACAGAACATAATGTCTTAATGTATAAATAAATAATTGTGGCCCAGAAAGTACAATTTAGCCCATACATTGTAATGCTTAAAATAAACATAAGCACACAAACAACTGTGCTGTTCTTCTGAACTTTCATCATTAGAATTCAATAATTTACTACTTTAGCTTGTAAGATATTTGTTTGAATTTAGTAGTTTCATTGTATTTATACCTCTTTTATTGCTTATTTGTAGTATTGACTATCACAGGCAATACAACAACTATGCTTAGCATCAAATGGGTCACATCGGTTAAACAGGGGTAGGGAAAATAAAAGGGGATATTTGACATTTTCTCTACACTATCAAACTCAGTACACAATAAGCGATATCTCTGTCCATTTGATGTAACAAATTTGAGAATGTGAATATAAGTTGTTTTGTTTCATTACCCTCTGATCGTTTATAAGTTGATTTCAGAAAACACCCACCTCCACATTCTTAGCAGCCTTGTCATATAATTGTGACCACCAATGTTCTGTAAAGTCAGCTGCTGCATCATGCCCAATACCTGCCACACTTCGTTTTAATTTGGGCTTCAGTGCTTCAGATATCCCATTTTCGTTCTTGCCTAAACCTTTTCCTGAAAGCATGAAAATGTTTAACTGGTGTAAACACAGCTGATTGTCACTTATGAAAGAAGATAGTTTCAATTTCAATACAAATACTGGTTTATAAATTTCGTTCCTAAATTGATTCAATTTAAGATTCCATGAAATGATAAAAAACCCCAGTAACAGACGAAGACAGCAAGTTTCTAGAGTTGCGTTATTATGCATTAGCATCCGTTCGGAACCCAAAATAAAATTATACTTTCTGCCTGCTATCACTCGATAGCAAACTTAATTTACAAATAAATTGAAATAGTTACCGTCAGACCAGCCATATTTTTCGAGTTGCCTTCTTGCAAAATCCATTGTCCAGCATAAGTTAATAACATAAATATGAGGCAGAACCCACTTTATTACTTGGAAGAAAATATTTATAGTACCTATTTTTTAAACATGTTAATTAATAAAATTTAACCTAAAATCTCTTGCATGTGATGGAAACTGACACACAGCACACAGCACAGCACCAAACACACACACACAGCTGACCACTGTCACTCATTTTTTTTAACGTTCTCCCTTTCAGGAAAAGGCAAAGGGTACAATTCCCATGGTGACTAATCTCCATTATTATTAATGTAGGTGTAACACATTCTAAAAGCGCCTACTGACATGCCTACCGCAGGGACAATCTAGGGTGTAAGAGTGGGGATGACCCTTAATTGCCTCCTGAACTGTGATGTGTGTAGGCAAGTTGCAAATTGCCCCATTTCATGAATCGGGCCTGCGGCAGGGCGGCAGTAGCGCGAGACCACCCTTGGTTACTAGATTGTCCCGCCCTGCACGTTGTCGCGTGTGTAGCGCGATCAGGGCAATTTCTCGATTATCTCGATCAGTCGGTTGGTAGCTGTCACACGGAGCGCACGTATTTCGATGAAGATGCCGGCAAATAATAATGAGCATGAAGTTTGGACATGAAGTACCAAACAATACAAGAAATGCTTTATAAAACAAAATTTAAGCATTTATTGTATTGTTTGGTATATTCGCATAATAATAATACGTAACGGTGTAACGTGTTTGGTCGAATTTGACCTACAACACTGCAATTAGGCATGTTCCTTGGACTTTCTTTCAATATGAAATGTACTTTAAAGTCCTGAATTAAAACACTTTTGGCACAAACACTGTAAATACAAGAATAACGTTGACAACCTATGTACCTGGTCACAGTGGGAAACCAAAATGGCGACCGTCAAATAGGCATTATAAGGACGTCACTTTATAATATCCAATTGTAATAAATTCATGAATATACCAATAAAATTGTTTACAAAATTAACATTGAAAATTAATATATTGATGTCGATTCTGGCATGATTCTCTAAAGCTAAACTTAAATTTGACAACAGTGCATCCCCGTCGTTCTCTATACAGAATGAAAAGGAGAGACTGATGTTAAATTTAGTTTTAAGTTTAGAGAATCACGCCAGAATCGACACCATTTTAGAGCCGTACTTTTATTGTTTAAATAGTTTTATCGATACCAGTAAGTACATATTAACAGTTGCATATTTTTATTTTATGATTTGACTGCTAGATGTTATAATCTTAAGTTTTTTTGTTTTATATGTATTTTAAACAATTTGTTTTAGTTTCTCAAGATGCAGATACGAGATGTGAGCAGATCAAAGCTGTTAATTTGATATCTGGGGACAAGGATCCTACGAAATATTACCGACTTTGTTTGTAATATTTTAAACCATCATGCTTACTAATGAATCAAGATCAAAACGAATACATTACCACAACATTTTTTTAAGAATATCAATAAATTATAATTGTTCTTATTAGTTCTATTTCATAGGTATGTATACATACCCATAGATGAATGATTGGTCTCGCTCGCTTCACTCGACTAGATACGACAGCTCCGTCAATGTGGCAACTCATTAATGTAGTGTGTGAATGTCAATTTGCATATCGAATGTGATTAGAACTCTGGATTCGAATCAAAAAAATGAAATCCCGCTAAAAACTCCCTGTCAGACTCAGTGTCAGCTTTTCCATAGCACCGCACTTGGCTTTTCCGTACTATGACAAACGATAAATAGTATAAACAGCCTCATTCTCTTTCTTTAATTTCCCAATAATGGTGTCGATTCTGGCATGCTTCTCTACGTACCTTTTTTAAACCTTAGCTTAAATTCAGTGCTTCCTTATCATTCTCTACAAAGAATGAAAAAGAGAGACTGATGTAAAATTTAGTCTTTTTTAGAGAATCATGCCAGAATCTTTGTTAAACGAAAAGTTAAAACCTCGTTTTTATGTTTTATCGCCACTTTCAGGGTAAAACCAGTAGTCAGTTGTAACAAAAAGAAGCAGTTAAACTTCTTTTTATTACAACAACTGTTAAGATTATTTGATAAGTTCTAATTTTACACTTAAAAAAATGTGTGCGTGTACTAGTGTACACACGTAAGAAGTGAAACTTCTTTATGGCCCTATTTTTCGAAAAATGATCTACATGCAACTTTCCAGAAATTGGTTAAATAAAGTTAAATTAGATAAAGTTTAAACAAAAGGATTTTATTATCATAGACATGAATACAAATTACTGCCTATGAAACTGTTATGATTACACGGCTCAGTAATCTAAGGCACATGTTCCACCTCCGACGATGAACGATAAGCGAGTAGAAACTAGAAACGAATTGGCAGTCCTGAGTTAAAATGCACGCGCACGGCTTTTGACAGCCAAGCCAGCTTAACCGAGCGAGTATCGCTGAGCTAGTATCGCTGAGCGAATATCGCTGAGCGAGTATCGCTGAGCGAGTACCGCTGAGCGAGTATCGCTATGCGAGTTTGGCTGAGCGAGTCTAATCTTTAATAACTATTGTCACTCAGCTACAAACGAGTAGAGAGAGTTCTCGCCGGCGACAGTGTGATCATTCAGCTATCAACTATTAATATAAAAAAAGATGGCGCGTAACGGAAAAATGTGACGCGTAACCGAAAAATGTGACGGTAAATTTTTTTCCAACGCCGATAAAGAAGTTTCACTTCAATAAAATCTTAATTAGATAACTATTTAAATACAACAAAACATTCAAAACTCTAAAATAAAAAGGCCTTTTCTTTTACATATATAAAATAATATATTCATTTATTTTCAACAGAATAATTCTATTTATGAATAGGGACACATTAGAAAACTGAGCATTAGCATAATTATTCAGTCAAAGAGCGTGCAATAAAATATAGTCATTGGTCCTATTAAAATTTCGACGCAATAATTTAAGAGTCAATCTTTTGGAAACACATCATTGACGTCTTCGATCGTAGACTCATTATTACTGAAAAAAAAGGTAGGTAAGTAAGTAATAAGGTTTCAAATAATAAAATATTACTAATCAGTAAATATATCTTACTTGGTAACCTTAAGATAGGGGCAGAATTATAATACAATATCAAATAGTTTTATTTTTAGAAGACCCCATTATGATACTCTAACTAAAGTCACTTTAACTTCTATGACAAGTCCTGAGTCAGTATGTAGAATTATAAATAGTAGTTAGTGAACGCTACCCCGAGAATTATTCAAATAATAATTTATCTAAATAAGTATATAACATAAAAAATCTTACAGCTTTGTTTCTTAGGTTTTCACGCACATCACTCATTAAATAAAACTAGTTTTTACGGGTTAATGCACGAAACTTTATTTATTTATTGACGTTTCGCAGCCTTTTCAGGTCTGCATCGTCAGAATAATGATTTTTTATTTAAAATTGTCGAGCTACCTTCGAAAGAATTATATTGAGCGTTCGGTTATTTCATTGGAAGATTTTTAAAATTGTATTGTCTATGTATGAATTTATTATTTAATTTACTTAATAAAGTATTTTATTTAAAATTCTTGTTTGTAATTTTGAGTTTATTAATTGACCCTAACTACCGTAAACTACCACCGGTTCCAAAATTGGGAGACCTTCCTGAGAAGAACCGGCGAAACAAACTCAAGAGAGGCTTTCTATCTCCTTCTTATGTTAAATTATGCAAACAAAAAGAACTAATAGTATCTGATGGTCTTGCAGTGTGTGCTCGGGGTTGGGATTTTATCTCCTGTATAATAGGTTCCCAAGCTGGTGGTATATACCAACCATCTTCCCTATTGAAATTTGGATATTTTTTTCTCATTCAAGTTTGTAGACACCAGCAACTTGAAAGGGTTGCCACAACTGGTGTCTACAAACTTGAATGCGACTGTGGGCTCTCCTACATCGGGCAAACAAAGAGGAGTATAGGGACTCGGGTAAAAGAACATATCGCAGATATGAAACATAGGCGCGAAAATAAATCTGCAGTGTGTGAACATGCATTAGGGGGACCAAACCACTACATTAGATATGATAGACCACAGATCCTTGCAGCTGAGCGGCGGTTCGTTCCTCGAATGATGCGCGAGGCTATTGAGATTAAAAAATATCCAAATTTCAATAGGGAAGATGGTTGGTATATACCACCAGCTTGGGAACCTATTATACAGGAGATAAAATCCCAACCCCGAGCACACACTGCAAGACCATCAGATACTATTAGTTCTTTTTGTTTGCATAATTTAACATAAGAAGGAGATAGAAAGCCTCTCTTGAGTTTGTTTCGCCGGTTCTTCTCAGGAAGGTCTCCCAATTTTGGAACCGGTGGTAGTTTACGGTAGTTAGGATCAAATAAATAAACTCAAAATTACAAACAAGAATTTTAAATAAAATACTTTATTAAGTAAATTAAATAATAAATTCATACATAGACAATAAAATTTTAAAAATCTTCCAATGAAATAACCGAACGCTCAATATAAGTCTTTCGAAGGTAGCTCGACAATTTTAAATAAAAAATCATTATTCTGACGATGCAGACCTGAAAAGGCTGCGAAACGTCAATAAATAAATAAAGTTTCGTGCATTAACCCGTAAAAACTAGTTTTACTTACAGCTTTAGTTTTATAAATTTCGTACGATATCAATTGAAAACTTCACTTTGGATTTTTTTACGTTTTTCGTGAACACTTTAATTTTAGACATTATAATGCCTCTAAAATATTATTTTCTTTCTTGTTATCATTGTATTATCGACATATACTCTTCTGAGTTAGTCTTTTTGGATATTCTGAAATTCCAATAAAAATATTTCAGTTTTTGTAATACCTCAAAACTTTGTTGATTAAACACCAAAGGTATTCTAAAAATTCAGACCTGGCACTGGCAACAATATTTTTATGATAATAAACTGTCAAAATTATTACTGCCTGGGCTCGATTCTGGCAGGATTCTCAAAACAAACTTTTTGACAATATCCTTGTCATTCTTTATACGGAATGAAAAGGAGAGGCTGATGTTTTTAGCCTTGGAGAAACAGGTCCACTATTTTGCCAGCTTCGATTCAGTGCTTATTATATTACGGGATTCCGGGATATAATACTTAACCAAAACCGCCTTCTAAACATAGAAGTATAAGAATAGAGTAGGGGAGATATAGACTCTACTACAAGTGGAAGTATCCCTCTAATAGAAAGAGAAAGAAGATGAGAGACCGCTAGCTTTCTCTCTCTTATAGCGCATGCGCATTGGCAATCGTAAGTATCTTACTATTTCGATGTGATGCTTGGACCAACTATTACTATTACTAAAGGCGACGACGCATCCGTCACTAGAGAGAGAGAGATAGCAAGCGGTCTCTCATCTTCTTTCTCTTTCTACTAGACGGACACTTTTAGAGTCGCCTTCCCTACTCTATTCTTATACCTCTATGCTTCTGAGCCACAAGAGATAAATGGTAAGGGTGCGTTTACACTACGCTATACATGTTCTATGTATAGTGGGCGATAATGTTCAAAGCTATTTATTACAGCATAGTCTGAACGCAAATTAATTGTAAAATATCCTGCCTTTTTCTCTAATCGGTAACCTCACGTTTGTAATTGTAATTAGGATCTCTTTTTGACCTTTCCATGTAGGGCAATCCGTGTCCTCCTTTAGACGAATAGTTTTCCAAAAATGGTCGATTCAACAGCTCTGACTTAAACCTCTTCAAGTAGTAAACCCAACACTTCATCTCCATAACTTCATCGGTGCCCCTGCAACAGTTTTTTTCAAAGTACAAACTTCTTTAAGCGCTTTGAACATTTTTGAGTTCGAAAAAACCAGGGGCATATTGTGACGGCGACATCTACATGCCCCACATATAATCAACATAGAGGAGATAGTCACTCGCCTCCTCAAGAGATGGTGCTACCGGCGTTACGATCAATACGTATGGAAGCCTAAATCGCGCAAGTAAAATTCGAAGGCTTACACTCGATATATACAATGCACGACCAATATCACTCGAGCTACCATCATCCAGCTCGGAGGAAGATCTTCCCCTTTAGCCTTCCTACAATATTATTATTTTCTTAGGGCCAAGCCATGGCCAGGACGGCAGGCTAGGATGGACGGCGAAGGCCATGTAAAGGCATTCGTTAATGGACCTGTATTTTGATTTAATTTCCTAATTCTTTGGGGGGATGCAAACCGTAAGTGACACGGCGTCTTTTAATACTACAAAAATAATAAGCTAACGTCACTTACACGCTGTATATATTTTGTATTTTATTAAGAACGGGACTTCATCAAAATTGTTCAGCGCACGCCTATACGCGTGAAAGCGTAACAGACTGTTAATTTCCATCGTCTGTTACGACTACAAAGATATTTATACTCCCTAAAGATACAAATACATGTACCTATATAAATATGTACTACATAATTCGTTATACTTATATATTCACTCAATGTACCAAATTAATGTTTACAGCTTAATGGAAAATATAATGTGTACGCTCTGAAACAAATGAACATATTCACACTTCGTTACTAATATGTATACAATCCGTCAAGAGTCTTATCCTTCTTTCTATGGGCGTTTCCGCAACTCGACGTCCGTATCACGCCTGTTTGTTCTGTGTTGCCGATGTCACTCCAGCCAGCCCACCTCCATCCGGAACGCCCCAAGTGCCTTCACATTGGTAATTGCCTCATGTAGGTTTTCCGGAGAGCCGAGGTATTTCGCCTGGTATTCGGGCACTCCGTTGGATTTCAGCAGAACGTGAGTAGCTGTTTCTTCTGCCTCCATGCATCCTCTGCATGCATATTACATTCTTGGAGGATCGCTCTTGTCGCCAGTATAATGGCCATACACTCAGCTTGGAAAACTGTGTTGTACGGGCTTAAGGGTAAAGCGATATGTATTTTGAGGTAATCGGAGAAAACAACCGCTGCCGTGGCCGATGAGGTTTTGGAGCCGTCGGTGTAGATCATAAGGGCCTTGTGTGTTACCTTTTGATTGTTGTCATCCAGTAGATGTATTCTGTACTTTTTGACAAAAGTGAAGGCAGGTTTGGTTTCGTCGCATGCCGCTTCTATTAGTGGAGTGTTTACCCAGTACTTCAGTATGCTGTTGAGATGTCTTGCTCTTTGGGACCTTACCAGTCCAAACTTCTGTAGTCTCAGCGCTGTCTTAGTCGCTTCCTATCTTAGGCAGGTGTGGAGTGGTGTAATGTTTAACATAACTTCCAGTGCTGCGGTTGGAGCCATACTCATGCACCCAGTCAACGCGCAGCACATCTACCGATGGAAGGTTTGTATTTATTGACACAGGTTGCCTGAGTAAATCTTGGCCATCATATGATGGTGCCATAGCTTAACATTGGTCGAATGACTGTGTAGTATAACCTTAGAAACTATTTTGGTGCAAGACCCAAACGCTTCCACAACATTTGACGGCATTGCCATAGTATTACACTGTCTCTTGATTTTGTGTTCCACATGGATACTCTTGAATTGGTACTTATGAGTCTTTTATCTCTTCACGCTTAAAACAAACAAACCTGTATACATATAAAGACGAACACATTACAGTGCAATATTAGCTGTTTACAAAAATTTGGCACATTTATTTATTATATTTGTAACAAACAATATCAACATCATTAATGAACACATATTTCTGTACCTTCCAAATGTATAGATCTATTTGGAGTCAACTGTACACCTACATTCACATTAGGACGCACCGAGCTGGATGGCATCGCAATGTTACGCCTCCCTATTATAATTTATGTAAAAGCTGAAAAATATTGCACTTACTCTTTTATTACTCTTATATCATCCAATTCTCTAACATAATACGAAGGGTGGTCTTCTAAAATATCTAAATTCTTGAGCATATCATCACAGACTTCATAAATTTCACCTGAAAAAAGACGTTTTATTAATGTTTTTTTGTGTACTTTGTAACATGGACTCAGTTATTTTTGCTCCTACTCTGGTAATACTGAAGGATGTCGTAAATAAATTTTTAACAATGAATTAAAAATATGCTCTATTCTTTCAATAATTAGTTCTATTATAAAATCATCAGCACAGACACATCAAACAAAAACACAATGATAGTACCTATTTATATTTTATTTATTATAGTATGTAAACTGCTGTGATAAGATAGTAATACACAGTGATAGAGTTGATACATAAGTGTTTAGACTTTTCAAGGCAACTGTTATTCTTTTGTAAATGATAGTTAGCCTCAATCAGTCCCTGTAGCATGAGCGCCACAATTTACATTATATCCCGTTTTTTATTGCATCTTACTGTCAAACTTCATAGTAATTTGACCATTGAGGGTGATAAAAACGTGTTATATTTCATATTGCGGTGCTCATGCTAGGGGAGCAGGGATGGGTAAACTTTCCCCTTATTGTGCCAATAGTTACTATTAGAATCTAAGTTTTTAGCTCAGGCCATTTACCCAGAAATTGTAAATTAAATCAAATCAAAATATATGTCCCGAGGTTTGCTGAGATGTGAATAAGTAGGTACCCGATTGGAACTTTGTCGAAACAGGTGAAAAATTAGTACAATTCAGTGAGAACCTTCGATTTTTGTTTTATGATTTTGGTAAATATCTTGAGTTCAATAAAACATTATAAATATTTTTATACGCTAGTATGAGAATAGCTTCTCAGGAGAAATATTAATATTAAAGACTTCTTTAATGAAAGAGAAATTATATACTTATATAATTTCTTAGATACTTACAAACTCCCTTGAACTGCCTTATCTTTCATTTAAGTATATATATTACATTATGATAATATCATCATCCGCTGGATATCCACTGCGGTACATAATCCTACTCAAGGGATTCCATGTGGAACTTCCTGTGCTGTCTAAATAATTACATTAGTATAATAGAGTGACAGTTAAAAAAAACTTACCTTTCACATTAAATCCATTGCCGGGGCTATAAAGCAGGAATGGAATATTGTACTTAGTTGCAATAATAAGAGGGTACTTCGCCTTTGTGACTCCTTTGCTGACAAATTTACTGTATCCATGGTCTCGGTTTGTTAACCAATGATGGTTTGGTTCATTGCGTTTCAAAGTGCCATAAACAAAAACTTTATGACTCATCTACAAAGAAGGAATAAAAATGAAAACAGTACCTATATGGTAAGTCAACTCATTATCAAAAGTTTTCAAGTGACATACTTTAGGTCATAATAGTTTGCAACAAAAAGATAATTAGAAAGGAATGAAAGATGTAAGTAAAAGATATTTTGGATTCCTACTGGAACATCTATGATTACAAAAGGGTTTTTCTTTGTATCATGTTTAGTATAATAGAGCATTATCATTTAGAATATGATTCCAATTATCTTTTTGTTGCAAACTATTATTACCTAAAGTATGCCACTTGAAAACTTTTGAGAATGAGTTGACTTACCATGAAAATAAATTATTATCTTTCATCAGATGGATGTCAAAATTAAATCTTATATTAAATCAAGAATTACTTACTGTTCTTAAATTTTGTTTGATGGAATGTAATTCAATCCTGCAGGTAAAAAATTTCATTATCATTAAAAGAACCGTATTTATCTAGTTTGATAGAATAAAATATTTTTTTTACCTACCAAATTCAAAACTGTGCGCCACTTTAGACAGAAAAATGGAAAAAAATGCCTAAAAGTCACTTTGGTTTTTTAAATACTCGAATTTGAAAACAAGAGAAACAAGCGCATACAGCTTACCTTAGTCCTTTTTTACGAAAAGATATATATAACCTGTGTATAGCCTTAAAGTCCTGTGCATACTATTAACGTGACGTGTAGCGCGCCAGAAGCACATCAGTTTCATACATTTACAATGGTTCTAAACATATTATTTACGGGTCGTGGCGACGTTCTAACCTCTCTCTTTCCCTCTAACGTCTAACCCATAATAAATGTACGAAACCGGCGCGCCACGACACGCCACGACACGTTAATATGCACAGGGCTTTACACAGACACTTCACATTCACGTAGTGTCCATCATGTGTCATACCATACATCAAGTTGAGTTCGAAGTTGATACTTATGCTAATAAACAGTGCGTAAATAGTGCCTTATAAGTGCAAGCACTACTTTTTGTGAAAATTTGGTTGCATAACAATAAGCCATTTTCGAGACTGGCCTGGTGTACGCCGCCACCTTGAATTTCACACCAGCACCGTACACCATGGTAGATTTCCAATTCACTAGAGCGCATTATGCGGCATAATACATAACGTTGAATGTTTCAACTACAGCAACGCTTCGCACAATCCAGCACTCTCAAAAGTAATGTTTTCGTGTGATGCGTGCAATCGTACCAACTCAGTGACCGAAAATTAACAAGTGTTTTTTCTTTAATTGGCAATGTTTCATTTATTTATTATCGTTCCGAATATTATTTATTGTTGATTTTTTTTAAAGCTTTCGTTTCATTGCAGTTTTTTTTAAATAATCAAAGTTAATTCAAACTGTGTAAAAAATAAATATATGTATGGATGAAGGTACAAAAATTGACTTTTTATTCAATAATAAACTTAGCGTTTCTCTGCTGGTGCATTTGAAAACTAATTCACGTTCCAATTAAGCATCAGCATAATTCGGAATTGTGCGCCACTTGAGAGTCGCATTATGCTCTGTAGAGTCTGTGCGGAAAGAGAATGGGATTTAGATTGGAGGGCGCTGTAGTGCTTTTCTACCGTATTTGTAAGATTTTACGACTTTTAGACATGATTAAATACAAAAATCGCAAGAAATCACAACAACAAACAAATCCGTTTCAATACAAAACTTTGACGTTTTACAAATTGCTGAGTTTGATTGCCAAATAAAAATCTTAGTATTAGTTCCGTTTTTCACCACGCCCATTCTCTTTCCGCACATAAAACCAGTTATTATTTAAGCTAAAGAAGAAGTTTTTTTTTATTATTGCACTAATTAGGCACTTTTTATTAGCATCAGTAACAACCACGAACTTGATGTGGGGTACGCTAGCTTGACGGACACATTCACGTATAGTAGTATTCTTTAGACCTTAACTTTAAATTTGAAAACAGTGCATCCCTGTCATTCTCTATACAGAATGAAATGAAAAGGAGAGACTGATGTTAAATTTAGTTAGAGAATCACGCCAGAATCGACACCAATGATGCCAGATTTCGGCGGTTTTTGAAATAATAGGGGCAAATAATAAAATATTTTTGTGGGGATTAATGGTAGGAAGACATTTGGATATTTAGAAATGGGGTTTCTCCCCCTATTAATCCCCCCAAAAATATTTTCTCCCCAATAATCCCCCATCGCTTTAAAAAAAAACAAATTTGGGGGTAATCCCCCCAATCTGGTATCAGTGCTCGCGTCCGCGTCTTGTATTATCTGCCTCCACTGTCAAGCTGACATCTCACAAGCCTGTTTTCTGAGTCTGAATCTGATTCTGAACCTGCGTGCACTGTGGCCGTACCCTGATTCTGAACCAGCGTGCACTGTGGCCGTACCTGTCCGCTCGCTTGACCGTCAACGACGTCACGTCACGTCAGTCACGTAGTATCCATCCATTTATGTAGTCTGTCTGTGCGTCAGTCGAAATTTTATCGTTACGGTGATAGTACGTGCTGGTGTTTGATTTTAATTAATTTAATAATAATAAGAATCGTCATGTGTTTAGTGTCGCAGCTGTAACATTGAACTCAAGTCTTTATCATAAACGAATTTAATATTTGAATCTGTCTTAAAATTCTTCAAAATGAGGTTGGCTGGGGCCATTTTCAGTAATGTTACAAAAATGTTGGACTTTTATTCACAATTTAATCCATCACCGCTGTCCATTAAGCAGTTTATAGATTTTGGTAAGTTTGAACGATTTAATTTTATTTGTGAAAGTCTTAATTTATTTACATCAAACACCTTGAGGTTTTTGATGATCGTAATTTAATTTCTTTCTGTTTTCAATATTATACTAATAAAATTCTCATCATTTTGTGCCATTTTATAATATGTAGGTATTTACCTGCATAAGACTGTTCCTATTTTATACATCAGGGACTCTTGATGGACCAATACTATATTTTTTTTTATTATATAAAGTTTTTGTTTTGGTTTTAGTATTGTACTGCAGTCTATACGGACTTTTGTAATTAATCATATTAGGGATATGGCTGAAATTTGAAGAAAAAAATAAATAACTAGGATATCAATTTTAGTAAAAATTTTGGACAAAGGATACAAAATATAGAGATTTATTAGTAAATTATTGAACATTGCCAGAAATTCTTCAGGACCCTGTCTTTGCCAGTAAACTGCAACTTGGACCCACCACCTAGTGACATATTCTGGCAGGGTCTATTATAAACTATAATTATGTAAGTTACTTTTGTATTCTTTCATATTTGTCGCACCTATTTTTATTTTAAGACAAATGTCTTTAATGTGTAAAACAAAACAAATAGTTTTTTCTTATTATTTCTTATAATAAGCACAGCTAAGATATAACGGTTATTTAAACAGTTTGCTGCTATTTAAATATTTTTAACAGAAGAGTTATTTTCAAAATAAATAAAAAATGGGTTCATAGAATATCAGTAACTTACAGAAAGTTACTAGGTTTTATTTATAATATTAAAAAAACTGTATTGTGTATTGCATTACTTTTTGTTGGTGACCCTAACTTGTAGTCTGATATCTGAGTACAGTACAAGAAACATGGTAGGTAGGTATCATTTTACCAGAAATGACCCCATTTTGCCAGTCTGAATAGCAATTATATTGATACTTCCCTTAGTCATGTCATGCCTACATGAGAATCATTTATAATTTTGTTTGTTTACTTTGACCTTTTTGTTTTGAACACAAGGTTATTTGCTGTGCATTTTGTTAATAAAGTGTACTTTAGATGGAACTTCAAATGTATAAACTTTGTAATGCTCTATAAATATGGACAAATTAGTATATTACATTCCACAAAAACAGGACAGCAATATTGATGAGTTTGAATTATAAATAAACTATCAGTTATGGTAAAAAGGTAGCAAACAAGCATGGTAGCAAGGTAGCCTGTCTGATGGTAAACTGCACCATAGCCTATAGATGTTTGAGATACCAAAAATATCACTTGCACAGTTACCTACCCCGAATCAATCCCCTACCCTGTGGAGCCCTAGAACCTTCTTCTTTTTGTTGCTACGGCTGTTTCTGCAACTCGACGTCCTTATGGCGCCTGTTTTGCGTGAGGAGGGTGGATAGCCGGAATCACTCCAGCCAGCCCAGCTCCGCCAGGAACGCCCCCAGGGCCTTCACATTGGTGACTGCCTCTTGAAGGTTTCCCGGTGAGCCGAGGTATTTCGCCCGGTATACGGCTACTCCGTTTCATTCCAGCAGAATGTGAGTAGCTGTTTCTTCTGCCTCCATACATCCTCCGCAAAGGGGACTGTCCGTGCCCTAGAACCTTACACACTGACAGAAACACAACACTACCAAAAGGTAGTGTTATTTTACTGTGGTCTTTTGTAAGGTGGAGGTTACTTTCCCAGGTAGGCGCTCTAACTTGAGCAGAAAATCTACTGTGCCCCACCTCTCTTATCAAATCTGACATGCACCAATCTGCATTTAGTTCATTTAATGTGCTCGGACCAACTTTCCCTGTGATTCTGTTGACAGGGCAGTAGTGAAAAGTTACTATACTAAAGATTATGCTTATGTTAACCAATTCCAATGCAACATGTTCGCTGTAAAAACTGTTGCTAGATACTGAACCAACACTGTGTGTATGTTGCAATTTTATCTTGTCAGTCCTGCATACATTTTGTGTCCCACACCTCTAAACCGCCACCCCTGGGTCAAGATAATGGTCAGTTATTTCCACTTCCACTTTGGCTGTCCTCTTTGTATGGTGTGGTAGCCCCATTTCCTGGTGAAGCTATCGCATAGAGTTGAGATTCTAGAATAGGACAACACATATAACAGCACAAATAGTAAGTGTCTTTATTAGTGTAGGGTCATTTATTTAGAGAGCTAAAGTTTTCAGCAGTCCTTCCTTTGTTAAAGTATGCTCTGTCACAGAAACATTCAACAAAGGTCTTTCTTTCGTTCAAAGTCCAACTTGGAAAACTACTTACAAGATATTATAATAAAAGGAATGTTTTGTTTTCCACATGGCAACTGTTACACTCTTGTAGTTGGTTCTCTAAATTTTTCAGCTACAATTTCTTTTGTGTTTATAAACAAAGAATAAGCTTGGATTAGTTACTCTATGTTTTGCCTCTGTTCATTGAATTATAAATGGCGCTTCAGTGATATTTATTTATCTTTAACAAAGTTTCTACAGTGATTTTTGTGCATTCAATACAATAAATTATAAATACTTATGGCTAATTACAGAAACTGATTAAGTACACATTAAATGCTAACGGCATTAATAAATACTGATATAACATTTATTTTTTATTGACATGAACAATACACGGCGTAACTAGTCTAAGCAAATTCCTAGTTTATTAATAACGGCGTGAGTGTTTAAGCATTATCGAGATATATTAAATCAAACGTTTTCCTGCTGTTTCAAATTCTTCGATAATGAGAGAATGAAAGATGATCCTCTACCTATTTATTTTTTGCTTTTAGGCAGTTCGCGCTGATCTTATTGAGGTAACCACTCTTTCATATTTCGTTCCAGGACATAATGTATTTTAAAGGGGGAAATCAAGGTCATTAGAACTAAAATCGGATGATTATAAAAACTGGATACAGGGAGTTTTAAGATTAGCTAATTGGCATTACTGTTCGTCTAGTGAGACATCCGCAATAAAAAAAAACTTGGATCAGAGCCACGGATTCCTGGTCATTGTTTGACAGTTTCATAATTATCGGAAAATTTCAAGGTTAACCGCTTTTTTAGAAAAGTTACTACACGCGGCGAATCCATGCAAGCTAGAAATTCGTTGGCTGGCTGTCTTTACGAATCACTACATTTTATAAGACTTCAAGACTTGGGTATTTATTCGCGCGCCCACCTTAGGCCGTATACAGAAAGAAAGCTTCTGGTCCTTACTGGTAACAGTTACATATAGGAAGCAGATTGAAGCCTAGTTGTTCATTCATTTCAAAGGGCGATGCCAGCGCTGACCAGCGCTTGTCGGCGACGTTCGGCGCTTATCGGCGCTGGTCCATAGCAATGCCTGCGCCGGTTACCGGTAAGGACCAGCGCTGACAAACGCTGGTCGGCTTTTAGCTTTGTTTCTGTCCTTATGCAGCATCGACGTTTTCCGTCATACGCGATAATTGGACAAACTCGAACACTTCGAATTAAAAAATGTTCGTCCAAGGCAATTTTGTCCATCACTATAGTGTACTTCTTTGTTTTATTGATAGTATCATTGCTTAGATTATAAAAAGGAAGTGTGTTTGTCTGTCTGTTAGCACGTTTAAACTGCAGATGAAATTTGGTATAGACTTAGGTTGGGAAAGGAAATTTAATTCCAGAAATCATCCGTCATGAGAGTTAAAACAAGTTTATATGGAAAACCAATTAAACCACACAGACGTTGTCGCTAGTTCTGAATAATAAAAAAAACTACAGAGATTGGTTTTAAAGAAAATGCTATTATATAATCATTTGAAGACTGAATACCTACGTGACTCCCGCTTCGTCCAAGACTGGTTTCATACGCTCTTATAATGCATCCATCATGTTCAAATAATATATTTTCATAGGAACAAACTGATAAAACTGAACCTCTTATAAAACGCAAAAAAATATTTTCAAAAGAATGAAGCTGATATAAGGTACGTTTTACACAAATATCGCGAATATACATGCACACGAAAGTAATTTTTAGACCTGAAATAACCACTGTTGGCATGTTCAGTGCAAATTCCTCAAATACCAAAGACTAAGAACAACGTTCGTTGGTTGGACTTTGGCACCTCTTGTGAAGTAATAATATGAAAATTTCTTTTTGCATCATCCGGTAGTATTTACAGAATGTAAATCTCTTGTACCTTTTTGCAGATTTTGAACCTGGACTCTGGACTTATCTATTTGTGCTTCGATATTTGTGTTTTATTTACGTGACGCAAATACATCGTTAGCAAAAAATATCAAAATTTAGCTACAAAGCCAAGCCAATGTGCGGGCGAATGTTACTAACAAAGATGATTTTATGAAAATCGAATAGTAGCAGTTAGGGGCATTATAGACTTAGGAGTTTTGAAATTTATCATCGCAGGAGACAAGAATAGTCTTCATCTGATTTCTGACCATACTTCAGACATTAATGGTAATTGAATCTCAGACCAGTCATTCAAAATAGTTATTAGCAAGAAGATTATATTTAATGGGATATTCACAAGAGTTTTAAAAGCATGCAAAGTTTTTTTTTTCGTTTTGTATCACATTGTAAATTAATTCTTCTTTGTACGGCATAATTATGTAAGGAAACGAGCTGTGCAACTATCTTGGACATTGTATACTTGTCGTGTGGCAAAAACCAACATAGTTGCAGTGTAATCTTGAATAATAGATGAGTCATAAAACATAGGTAATGATGATCTACATCGACCAGTGGTTCCCAAACTTTATTCTTCGTATACCACTTCAAGGCCCGTATTATAGAAAGATTCCCAGTGATTGATCTAGTCTTGAGCATAGTTAGAAAGGGATGTCGCTATCTAAAGCACATAGAAACATCCCTTTCTAACTGTACTCAAGGAAAGATCCACACTTAGTTGTCATTCTGTAATACGGGCCTAAAACCTTTAAAAGACTGCTGAATGCTGCTGCTACAGTTCTGCCATATTTCCAAAACTCGATAAAAGTGCTAAGATTAGATCTTTAGTGATTCAATGAGACTAC